TTACTTTACCGAAATGACAGCAATTCTTGTATGCACCTTGTCTATTTACTTCATCTTTGAAGTGTAAAGCAGAACAATGCTTACATATGCTTGATAATTCACCACAAAAATGTTCATCAACATTCACACTACAATCTGGCATAGTCTCAGTATGTAACATGTTAAAATCCCTTTCTTCTTTACTCGTACTTGTAGCTTCAGAGTTCAAATCTGACATAGAGTCAGCAGTCTTATTGACCACAGGACCTTCTTCAATGCATGCGGCTGTTACATTGTACTTATATAGAGACTCTAATAAATTACTGTGAAAATTTGACATAGCCTCCCCATGCTTTTTCGCACTCTTACCATCCTTATTGTCATTGCTATTATTATTTACTGATTTATAAACTTGAGGAGGAATGTGGTGATTAACTTGAAAGCAATCAGAGTAGAAAGGACTTTTATCGGATTTACCACATCCCTCATTACGTCCAGTATCAAACGAAAAAATGCTATTTACATTAATTGCCTTTCTACTTGATTGTGAGCTTTTTTTACTTACTTTTTTGTATGAAAAGTCAAACATGAGGGGTAAATTTTTTCTAAATATTTATAGTTTTAAAAAATAAATTTTCTTGAAATTTCTAGACAGAAGTAAAAATATTTTGAAATTTATACCAGTTGATTTTGAATTGGAAAGTTGATCTTTTAATGCTTTAATTGTTTCAATAATGTATAAAAGTATTATAATAGCAGCCAACTCTATTCATAATGAGATTAAAATGTACAAATTTAATTTATTTATAATGCGCCTTTCAGACAACTAAAATATATAGAATGTAATATTTGATAGCATTAAGTAACATTAATAATGTTTAATTAAAAATTTAATGCTTTTATTATAACTATATAATGGAATAAAAATAAATTTTACAAATTTTAAAAAAGAAGGGTTAAAAAATAAATAAATGTTCAGATTTAAACTTTTTATATATATTGATGACTAGATTACGTTATCCCGTTTATAAAACGGGACTTTAAATACAATGTATGCTTTTTAATAATATGTATCTTGCGACAATTTTCAACGTTTATGTTTAAAAGTTCCTAATTTGTTGTATTTATCTTGTATTAAAACTGCAGTAACACACTTTTGAAATTGGATTTTTAAATACAACACAAAAAAATATAGGGAATGTTCTGTTCGTAAAATAGTCAAATAAACAACATTGTTATTGCTTAGCTTATAGAACAAAATTTTATAAAAACAAGAAAAGCAAAATTAAATATCCAGATCCAAACTTTTTATATATATTACTAGATTACGCTATCCCGTTAAAAACGGGATTCGAAATTATATTAGTTTATGTATTTATTTTTCAAAAGTACAGTATGTCATTGTAATAACTCTTTTGGTAATAAATTTAATAGTTTACTATAATTTAACTTTTAAGATGTCTATTTTCATAAAAGTTTGATTATAAATATGACAAAAAGGATACAAATTAATAAAACTTTACCACAATGTTACCGCTTACAAAAAAAAATATTTTACAAACTTTAAAAAAGAAGGGTTAAAAAATAAATAAATATTTAGATTCAAACTTTTTATATATATTCATAGATGATGATTGACTAGGGCCTAATAATTAAAAGAATGTAAAAAATCTTTTTATAAGATTATATCATTAGGAATATCCAGATTGGACAATTTATAAAAATAAGGATGCTGCATTTTAGCTAATATTCCATTATATACTGCATTATATAAAAATTGCCTAAACATCACATAATTAATTCACTAATTTTAAAATTTGATTTTTACTATGTTTAATTAGATGTTCTCTTTTCACAATTCTAACCCTCTGTTTTTATAACAAATTGTAAATTTGTATTTACTATTAGTGCTTATTATAATTGAAGTTTGATAAAATAGATAATATAACATTTAGTTCTAAATGTTAACATAACTACCCTGCGGACAATTTTTAAATTTTACTTTCAACAATTATTAAGCTTTTCCTATGCACTTAAAGCAAATTCCAACCTGTAAATTAAAAATATATGTCTTGTATATCTGCCTATTAATTCACACCTTTACATCTTTAATGCTATTGCGCTACTAACGACACATTTTTTTTTCGTAATACATCTGTGATTAACCCTTCCTCTTGTATTTAAAATTAAGCTTCTTAGTAAGTTATCCTATCAGTTCTTTACTGAATTTTTTTCAATAATTGATAATATCTCTCATAGTTTTTTTTGCGTACAAAAATCTTTAACAAAACCCCCCTTGTCTTTGTTAAGATCAGCATGTGTCCAATCAATGAGAAGATTAATTATATAAAATAACACGACTTTAGTATAACGACTTTGATCGGTACTTTGAGTATTCTGTCCTTGATATATCAGGGCATCTTAGATTATTGGCCACTAAGAAATATAAAAGATTGTATTTATCAATAGAGATGTTTCAAGTCAACACCCCAGTCTGCTATTTACTTTTTGATTTTTGCCGTCCATTTTGAGTAAAATAATCATTCATTACTGTGGTATTATTTTTACCACATGTCATTTATTTTGCTATAAATATTCAAATTTATTTTTGCCCATCAAAGTTAGGAAGAAGAAGAATTTGACTATGTGTTTTTGGTAGTTGTAATATTTCCACAACTATTATAATAAAAACTTTTTTTCTTAACTCATTTATATCTTTCGTATTATTAGAATGCTTTGTTGTACTTGCAAAATATTTAGCGCAATTTAATTTTATCTCTAGTACTTTTTTCAATACTCCCTTAAACTGGCGTTACTTCATCTTTCCACCCCTCTTCGAACAACTACGTACAAATTTTTTAAAGTGAGCGAAGTTATTTGGAGGGGGTGGAAAGATGAAGTAGCGCCTTTAAACTTATATATACCCCAAGTCAATGAAAATTTATGTTAAATAAGATTACCGTGTAGGCAATATAGCATTTCAGCTGCATGTAAGAATGTGCACTTGATTTTAATTATTTTCTTATTTATTACATTCATTTGTCTACTTCTATCGTCGAACTTAAAAGACTGTTATTATCAAATTCTTCTCTTTTTGCCCCAAACCAATTATCAAAGATTCTTATAAATTAATAAATGGCTTTTTTCTAATCCTATCATAGTATCTTGATATCTTAAACAGTTGCATAAACCTTATCCCCCAAATGCCTACCAAACCTCTATCGATACCAACTTTGCAGCACATTTGAGTATCAATCTTTTACTATTGTTATTCTGTTGTAATAGAACCATGCTAATATATATGTTATTTCTATCTGATACTAGTAAAATTTTGTCGTAATTAGTAATATTTCACTCTATTTAATTTATTAAATTGTTCGCTTATATCTGTCGTCTATGTCAATTATATTTTTTGAATAACATAGTTGTCAAATTTATCTTTAGTTCTATATATCCTTATATAGAATAAAAAAAATAAAAAGTTTATTGTTAAAAAATGAAATCTGTAACGAAAAAAAGCTACCAAGCCACCAAAAACTCCACCGCCAAAAAACAAAACATCAATTTGCGTTTACACGCCAGCATACCTTTACGGCCTTGCTTGTAGGAGATAAAAACGTTCCCTTAGGATACAAATCCTTGGTTAACTTAATAACCTTAGCTCACCTTAAGTGAGTGTTTAGAACGGAACAGCCTGGCTCAATACACCAATTAAGAACACAATTCAGTCCAGCTAGAAAGATACAGCGTCAGTATCATGCCCAACCTTCTCCCAAGGTATAAGATGTGACTGGACTACAGTCCTATGTTGTTCCGATCGTCACGTTTTCGGGACTTTCTATGGGGTATGAGCCCAAGTCCTTCTAGGGGTTTTTAAGCCCTACTTTTTCTTGAGATAGTGAATCTCATGTTTTTCTTTTGCAGGATAAGGAAAACCTTTGACGACACCTGCTTGCTTGTTTGATGCAGATCCTCCGAGGAGTTGCGGCTTCTGCTACCGGTAATGATTTACTCATCTAAGGACAATCACTGTGCCCCCTTGTTGTTTCAGCAGCCACGTAGAAAACAACAAGGCTATAATGTTTAGCAACTATGTATAAACAGGTTGCCGTCCTTCGCGTAGACACGCAATTATTATGAAGGGCTAGGGAGGTAGAGAATTTCTAAGGATCTGATTGACCAATCTCCTCCTCCCCCCTTATATAGAATCACCACCCCTATATTCATCACTAAAAATTTTTAAACATTTAACATTCACGTTTGTATAAAAAATCTAAGCGCCTTCTTTATTTATAATGATACTAAATGACGCACAGTTATTGCTACTTCAAGCAATTCAACTTTTAACTAATAAAACTGGCTCTTAATAAAGTTTGCCTTTATATTATTATAACTATTCTATAACATTTCCCAACAAACCCCTCTTTTACCTTTTATTTTTCTTTAGATTAAGATATATTCATCATTAACCGAAACTTTTTACGCTTCAACTCCCCAAAATCTTATTTGTGGTTAGATTACTTTTCGACTATCGCTGGTTCCTAATAACATAAATTTTCACTTGTATACTAAGGTGTCTTAAGAAAGTTTCTCGTGTTTTAAATAAAGCTCCATTAAGCTTTCGTAAAAATTTTTTTACTAAAACCAAACTATTTGCTCTTTGTTTTTCTAAAACCCATACCCACCTTTTTTCATTGGTCTTAAATATTGGGGGGTTAATAAATAAGATCTCTTAAAATTGCCACCTTCCCTAGCCCTTCATAACAATTGCGTGTCTATGAGAAGGACGGCAAATTGTTTATACAAACTTGCCAAACATTTTAACCTTGTTTTTTCTTCGTGGCTGCTGGAACAACAAGGACGCATGGACATTGTCCTTGGTTTTGGTAAAACATTGCCGGTAGCAGAAGTCGTGACTCTTCGGAGAATCTGCAGCATCAACTTGAGCAGGCGGGTGTCGTTAGAGAGTATTCTCACATCGCTTAAGACAAATGTGTCTTGACTTGGGAAGTGTCTGGCTTAAAGTTGCATATTATGCCGTAGAACTTTGCTGGATCGAGCCGTGTCCTTAAATGGTGTATTGAACCAGGCACTAAACCACAAATCCTGCTGATTGCAGGCCTCGGTTTTTATGGCTGTTGGATTTTTATTATTCCTACAATGTCCCAACTTCCTACAAGCAAGGGCTTGGAGGTATGCCAAAGTGTGCCGCTGATTATTTTTTTTTTGAGTTTTGGTGTCGTAGAAGCTTTCTTAAATGACAATAAATTAATTTTATTTTTTTTCTTTAAATGAAAAGGATGAAGATAGATTGTCAGAGGATGGCAAAAGAATCTGTTTAGAAGGTAGAGAATATTCTATTAAGAATGTAGAAACGGATATTAAAGATGTTTCTATTAAAACAAATGTCATTAAAAACAAAGATACCACGAACAAAAGGGCAGTAAAGAAGCACTTGAATGCAATCTCTGCAATATAGCTGGTAAAAGTGACGTGCTATAAAGGAATGCGACTAGTCTCAAAGTAATACTCTAATGAGCTTAAGACCTTATTATTACCGTCTATTTCTTACAGGTTTAAAATAACTCTCATTTTTATTTAATGATTTATTGGAGTTTCTCTTCACAAAAGGCATGGGTTAAAATTCAAAATTATTTTTATAGTAAACTTTTTTAAATAAAGTTAACATGTGGTTGTAATACTACAAAAATAAAGGCTCCAAAGACTAAGCTCAAGCTTTACCAAGTAAATGATGATGGATGGATATCTGTCAAACACACTTTTAAACCAAAGATTTACTTTGGTTCTAATAATAAAAATAACTTTAAAAGATACAAAAAAAACAAACTTCAATAGATTTAGTTCTATGGAAGTAGAAAACAAAACAAGGGAGATTACTCCTTTATATAAAAAGGGTCATGCAGTGTCACATGACGAACAAAAATCTTCTAAAAAGGAGAACAAAAAAATTAAA